TCTCTCTCTCTGGCACAGTCCAGAGCTGGATCCACACAGAGCCATTGTCCTCACAGTCTTTAGTATTCAGTCCAGGGTTCTGCCAGGACCGAGCCAAGACCCAAGGCCCAAATCTATTCAAGATGGACAGTGTCAGGACCAGGACCAGGACCAGGACCAAGACCAGGACCAAAATCAGGAGGTTTTATGTGGAATAATTAAATGTGTTTGTAGGAGTTTAAGAAGCGGTTTTCAAATGTGTTTTAAAGTAAAATATGAACAAGACACAAAATAGACAGAAATTAACACACACACACACACACACAGAGGGAGACATACAGACACACACATAGAGACAGACACACACACACACACACACACACACACAGATGGAGACATACAGACACACACATAGAGACATACAGACACACACACACACAGAGAGGGAGACATACAGACACACACATAGAGACATACAGACACACACACACACAGAGAGGGAGACATACAGACACACACATAGAGACAGACACACACACACACAGAGACATACAGACACACACACACACACACACACAGAGACAGACATACAGACACACACACACAGAATAGACAGAAGTAAAGGGTTTGACGACACACACAGACACACACACATACACAGAATACCTCAGAGTCCCAGCAGGAGGCCAGTCCCTGTGCTCCTCAGAGTCCCAGCAGGAGGCCAGTCCCTGTGCTCCTCAGTCCCAGCAGGAGGCCAGTCCCTGTGCTCCTCAGAGTCCCAGCAGGAGACCAGTCCCTGTGCTCCACAGAGTCCCAGCAGGAGGCCAGTCCCTGTGCTCCTCAGTCCCAGCAGGAGGCCAGTCCCTGTGCTCCTCAGTCCCAGCAGGAGGCCAGTCCAGTCCCTGTGCTCCTTTGAGTCCCAGCAGGAGGCCAGTCCCTGTGCTCCACAGAGTCCCAGCAGGAGGCCAGTCCCTGTGCTCCTCAGTCCCAGCAGGAGGCCAGTCCCTGTGCTCCTCAGAGTCCCAGCAGGAGACCAGTCCCTGTGCTCCTCAGAGTCCCAGCAGGAGACCAGTCCCTGTGCTCCTCAGAGTCCCAGCAGGAGACCAGTCCCTGTGCTCCTCAGAGTCCCAGCAGGTGACCAGTCCCTGTGCTTAAGGAGAGACTTGTAACAAACAGACCTGCTTTAAAGTATAATATCACAACTGTTACCTAGCAACCACTGCGCTAAAACTCTGCATGAAACCTCCAAAATACAAAATATCTGAAATGTTGTGCATTTGCAAAAAAATGTCAAAAAGTCATGTTTTTCTGATTTCCTCCATCTGTGTGTCTTATAATCGGCAATAAATATAGAAGAATTTGCTCATAAAGAATGAAACTGGATTTGCGTGTCGCTAAAACAGACCTAGCTTACCTGCGGATTTGGTAATTCTCTGTTTGTGCAGGTGAATTATTCAAACCTCGGCCACTTGACGGAATTTTACCTGATTGGTGAAAATCTCTCATATTTCACCCAAACCGCAGTAAAATTATTCTGACAGAAACTAGATCAAAGCTTTTCAGTGTTAAAATAGACTGGATGGACACTCGTTACCGCGGTGACCGTCTCTAAACCCTGACCCTAAAGCCTCAGTCCTGGGTCTGCAGCCTCAGTCCTGGGTCTACAGCCTCAGTCCTGGATCTACAGCCTCAGTCCTGGGTCTACAGCCTCAGTCCTGGGTCTACAGCCTCAGTCCTGGATCTACAGCCTCAGTCCTGGGTCTACAGCCTCAGTCCTGGATCTACAGCCTCAGTCCTGGGTCTACAGCCTCAGCCCTGGGTCTACAGCCTCAGTCCTGGGTCTACAGCCTCAGTCCTGGGTCTACAGCCTCAGTCCTGGATCTACAGCCTCAGTCCTGGATCGTCTACAGCCTCAGTCCTGGATCTACAGCCTCAGTCCTGGATCTACAGCCTCAGTCCTGGGTCTACAGCCTCAGTCCTGGATCTACAGCCTCAGTCCTGGGTCTACAGCCTCAGTCCTGGATCTACAGCCTCAGTCCTGGGTCTACAGCCTCAGTCCTGGATCTACAGCCTCAGTCCTGGGTCTACAGCCTCAGTCCTCGGTCTACAGCCTCAGTCCTGTTGGTGAAGTTTGTAAAGTCCTTTTAGACGACTGCTGTAGTGATTTAGGTCACCGCACATATTTCTTACTGAATTAAAAACCTTTGAAAAACCCTTAGATCAAACTTGAGTCGTCTAAATAAACAAAACCAGATAATACCATGTGAACAAACCTAGATAGCTATTTATTAATCTATTTATATCGGGACAATGCACATTCATGAACAACAGTATAAAACAAATGTAAATATCCTAGATTATAGCCACAAAGCTAGTTTTCACTCGAGTCCGTATAATCAGAAAAAATACATAGGAAATACACACATTTTCTTTTCTGAATGACTAAAAACAGTGCATTTAATCCATGGAGAGACCAAATGAAGGCTGTGTGGGTCTGCACTGGCTTCCTGTGGCTCAGAGGATCTCTCTCTTTTCCTCCTCCCTCCGTTGTTGTTGTTGGGAGAGATGATGTCTCTTTTTTTTTTTTATAGATTCTCTTGCGCCACAGGAAGCAGTGCAGGACCCACACAGCCTTCATTTGGTCTCTCCATGGATTAAATGCACTGTTTTTAGTCATTCAGAAAAGAAAATGTGTGTATTTCCTATGTATGTTTTCTGATTATACGGACTCGAGTGGAAAACTAGCTTTGTGGCTATAATCTAGGATATTTACATTTGTTTTATACTGTTGTTCATGAATGTGCATTGTCCCGATATAAATAGATTAATAAATAGCTATCTAGGTTTGTTCACATGGTATTATCTGGTTTTGTTTATTTAGACGACTCAAGTTTGATCTAAGGGTTTTTCAAAGGTTTTTAATTCAGTAAGAAATATGTGCGGTGACCTAAATCACTACAGCAGTCGTCTAAAAGGACTTTACAAACTTCACCAACAGGACTGAGGCTGTAGACCGAGGACTGAGGCTGTAGACCCAGGACTGAGGCTGTAGATCCAGGACTGAGGCTGTAGACCCAGGACTGAGGCTGTAGATCCAGGACTGAGGCTGTAGACCCAGGACTGAGGCTGTAGATCCAGGACTGAGGCTGTAGACCCAGGACTGAGGCTGTAGATCCAGGACTGAGGCTGTAGATCCAGGACTGAGGCTGTAGATCCAGGACTGAGGCTGTAGATCCAGGACTGAGGCTGTAGACCCAGGACTGAGGCTGTAGACCCAGGACTGAGGCTGTAGACCCAGGACTGAGGCTGTAGACCCAGGACTGAGGCTGTAGATCCAGGACTGAGGCTGTAGACCCAGGACTGAGGCTGTAGCAGCTGAGGTCCCAGGACTGAGGCTGTAGACCCAGGACTGAGGCTGTAGACCCAGGACTGAGGCTGTAGATCCAGGACTGAGGCTGGTGAGACCCAGGACTGAGGCTGCAGACCCAGGACTGAGGCTTTAGGGTCAGGGTTTTAGAGACGGTCACCGCGGTAACGAGTGTCCATCCAGTCTATTTTAACACTGAAAAGCTTTGATCTAGTTTCTGTCAGAATAATTTTACTGCGGTTTGGGTGAAATATGAGAGATTTTCACCAATCAGGTAAAATTCCGTCAAGTGGCCGAGGTTTGAATAATTCACCTGCACAAACAGAGAATTACCAAATCCGCAGGTAAGCTAGGTCTGTTTTAGCGACACGCAAATCCAGTTTCATTCTTTATGAGCAAATTCTTCTATATTTATTGCCGATTATAAGACACACAGATGGAGGAAATCAGAAAAACATGACTTTTTGACATTTTTTTGCAAATGCACAACATTTCAGATATTTTGTATTTTGGAGGTTTCATGCAGAGTTTTAGCGCAGTGGTTGCTAGGTAACAGTTGTGATATTATACTTTAAAGCAGGTCTGTTTGTTACAAGTCTCTCCTTAAGCACAGGGACTGGTCACCTGCTGGGACTCTGAGGAGCACAGGGACTGGTCTCCTGCTGGGACTCTGAGGAGCACAGGGACTGGTCTCCTGCTGGGACTCTGAGGAGCACAGGGACTGGCCTCCTGCTGGGACTCTGAGGAGCACAGGGACTGGCCTCCTGCTGGGACTCTGAGGAGCACAGGGTCTGGCCTCCTGAGGGGACTCTGAGGAGCACAGGGACTGGCCTCCTGCTGGGACTGAGGAGCACAGGGACTGGCCTCCTGCTGGGACTCTGTGGAGCACAGGGACTGGCCTCCTGCTGGGACTCAAAGGAGCACAGGGACTGGCCTCCTGCTGGGACTGAGGAGCACAGGGACTGGCCTCCTGCTGGGACTGAGGAGCACAGGGACTGGCCTCCTGCTGGGACTGAGGAGCACAGGGACTGGCCTCCTGCTGGGACTCTGTGGAGCACAGGGACTGGTCTCCTGCTGGGACTCTGAGGAGCACAGGGACTGGCCTCCTGCTGGGACTGAGGAGCACAGGGACTGGCCTCCTGCTGGGACTCTGAGGAGCACAGGGACTGGCCTCCTGCTGGGACTCTGAGGTATTCTGTGTATGTGTGTGTGTCTGTGTGTGTCGTCAAACCCTTTACTTCTGTCTATTCTGTGTGTGTGTGTCTGTATGTCTGTCTCTGTGTGTGTGTGTGTGTGTGTGTGTGTCTGTATGTCTCTGTGTGTGTGTGTGGTCTGTCTCTATGTGTGTGTCTGTATGTCTCCCTCTCTGTGTGTGTGTGTGTCTGTATGTCTCTATGTGTGTGTCTGTATGTCTCCCTCTCTGTGTGTGTGTGTTGTGTCTGTATGTCTCCATCTGTGTGTGTGTGTGTGTGTGTGTGTGTGTGTCTGTCTCTATGTGTGTGTCTGTATGTCTCCCTCTGTGTGTGTGTGTGTGTGTGTTAATTTCTGTCTATTTTGTGTCTTGTTCATATTTTACTTTAAAACACATTTGAAAACCGCTTCTTAAACTCCTACAAACACATTTAATTATTCCACATAAAACCTCCTGATTTTGGTCCTGGTCTTGGTCCTGGTCCTGGTCCTGGTCCTGACACTGTCCATCTTGAATAGATTTGGGCCTTGGGTCTTGGCTCGGTCCTTGGAGAACCCTGGAATGAATACCTAAAGGACTGAGAGGACAATGTCTCTTGTGGAACCAGCTTGGGACATGGTGCCAGAGAGACGGTGGGAGAGGAGTAAATTGAGATCAGAGACGAGAACGAGGCCGGCAGGAGAGAGCGAGAGAGGTTGGAGGACGAAGACACTAGTTGGATGTGAGAGGAAGGGGAGCGGAAAGGAAGATAAAAGAGCAATATAGATCGTGTAGACCATGGTAGGCCCGCCCTCCCCAGACCCCCAGCATAGAGAGGAGACGGCCTTGGAGGGAGAGGGTTTGAATACTCTTGAATGATAGGAGGAGAGGGGTGAGGAGACCCGGGAGAAGCGGGGAGATGCGCGATGAGAAGGGTGAGGAGATGCTCAAGGAGAGAATTGAGAGAGGGGTAGAGGAGTGCGGGAAGAGAGGGAGGAGATGGAGGAGAGGCGAGAGAGGAGGAGGGGGGAGTAGGCTAGAGGGAGTGAGAGATGGGTGAGAGATGAGGATAGGGGAGGGGAAGGGGGAAGCGAGACTTGGGAGAGAAGAGAGAGAGGGTGAGATGAGCGAGGAGGGAGAGTGATATGAGAACTGAGGCTCTCGAGAGGTGGAAGAGATCGCTGTTAAGGGGGAGGAAAGAGCAGAGGCGAATACGGATGCCGAGACGATAGAGAAGAGGAGAAAAGTAGGAAGCGAGAAACCGGATGAGGCACGTCGCGGAGGAGCGGATGGAGAGAAAGACGAGAGAGGTACACGGAGAGGAGGAGAGTCGGTTGAGGAGATGAGAACGGCGTGAGGAGGGTTGGAGGCGCGAGGTGTCGGCGAGATGGGATCGGAACGGAGTATGCGACCGGGTGAGCGAGAGGGAGGTGACGGAGACAGGAGACGCATTGCGGGGAGAGGGCCAAGAGGGGGGGAAGATCGATTGAGAGGTGACAGGGATAAGGGTCGAGACCTGAGGATTGATAGAAGGGTAGAGGCAGAGTGATGGCAAGGGGCAGAGATTTGAGACGGAGGGGAGGGCGATGTGGAAGAGAAGAGGACGAAGGGGGGATGAGTCGGAGCGGACTGAACTACCGGAGGGGCGGGGGATGTTGGGGGAGAACGAGGAAACTGGAGAGGAGGAACGGGCGTGCGATGATAGTGGAGTGAGGGATAGAGACCCCCGAAGGTAGGAGAAGAGTGTGGGGAGATAGGACGCGAGACATCGGGGAGGAGACGAAGCTGGGGTGGGGCGGCCGCGATTGAGACAGAGGAAATGCTCTGAAGTGGACCAGGGCAGACGAGTGAGAGAAGGAGGGGCGAGGGAGAGTTCGATGGATGGTGACCGCGAGGAGTGGAGGTGGTGGGACGATGGGGATGATGACGCTGGGAATGAGACCGAAGGTGTCGGTGTGAAGACTGGAGGAGGAGGAGGGAGGAGAAAGGCAATGAACGGAGTGGGGGGGAGGAGGAGTTGGTGAAATTGGGAATGAGAGACTCAACAGCCCCCCAGCGCGGAGCCCCCAGCCCCCAGACAAGAACGAGAGCTGAGGATGTGAAGACGACAGATACGACTCGAGGATGTGAGCTGTGGATGGCGTGACGAGAGTGATGAGAGCAGATCCGCCGATGAGGAGTGTTGGCGAGAAGAAGAAGAGAGAGGGGGGTGAGGAGTGAGGACGAATGCGAGGCGGGGAGAGAAGATGTTTGAGGGGGAGCGGTGAATCCGGTTGACGGAGAGGTGAGATGAGGCCTGCCGGGAGAGAGAGTAGTGGAGAGGGAGAGAAGATGGTGGAGGAGGATGGATGGAGGAGAGGAGATGATTGAATGGCGATGAAGAGGGGGAGCGAGGAGAGAAGAGAGTGATCTGATTAGAGTGAGGAGAGTTGAAGAGAGATGAACGGTGGAGGGGGAGAGGACGAGCGGGAGAGGAGAAGAGAGAGAGGAGAGGAGAGTCGGGTGGATGGAAGAGAAAGAGGAGGAGTGAGGGATACGTAGAGAGGAAAAGGGGGAAAGGCGACGGTGTAGCGTGAGCGGACGAGAGGAAGAGGGAGGAGGGGGTTGGAGGAGCGAGTGGTGTATGGGGTATCGGGGGGAGAGAGAGGGAGAGATAGAGATGAATGGAGGGGGGGGGGGAATAGAGAGGGAGGAGGGGAGAGATGAGAGGAGAGACAGGGAAGAGGAGCCGAGGGAAAGGGAGGAGGATGTGAGGGAGAGAATGACGAGGTATCAGAGACGACGGAGAGAGGAGGTGACGGCCGGTGAGACCCACGAGAGAGGAGTAAGGAAGAGAGAGAGAGAAGGTGAGGGGAGGTGGAGAGAGAGGAGCGTTAGGAACGAAGGAAGAAGGGGAGAGGAGGGGGAGATGTAGGCCCTGCGGTGCGAGCACTGAGGGACGAAGAGGGAGGGGGGGAGCGATAGAGGAAGGGAGTATAGAATGGTCGGAAGAGGAGATCAGAGGAGCGGGGGAGCATAGTAAAAATCAGAGGAATTCCTCAGAGAGAGCACCAGCTTCAGACATGCCACGCCACCCAGACGTTCACGAGGGGATACGGAGGGAGGAGAGATGAGGAGGTTGTCGAGTGGGTGGAGGAGTGGTGAATGGAAGAGGGATGAAAGAGAGTGAACCCAACCTGCGAGTGAGACACTGATAGACACCAGAGATGGAGGCAGATGGGAGAAAGAGGATGACGATGAGAGCTGTGAGGGGGGGGGGGTGAGCCGTGAAGGCGAGGTGGTTGTTCCGAGAGCGAGGGAGGACGAGAGGGGGGTGAGCGAAGGACTGGGGCAGGAGCGAGCTCGGGTGCCAGCGGGATGAGAGTTAGTGAGGAAGGAACGGGGAGGAAAGTGAGGGGGGGGGGGGACGCGAGAGACTGACTGGGGACGGGATGGTTGGAGGGGGATGTGGGATGATCGGAGGAGTAGGAGAAAGGCGTGAGAGTAAAGGTAGCGAGTAGGGGATGAGACGGGGAGATGTAAGATCGGAGAAGAACGAGAATGATTGCTGAGTCGAGGCTGGCGGGAGGAATGTATGAACGGAGACAATAGAGATTCGTGAGTCGGGACATATTGCGACGATGAGGGGGGAGGGAGAAGTGGACGGGGAGGACGACATGGGGGAGAAGGTTTGAGCGGTAGTGAGTGACGAAGCATTCGGAGTGATGGGAGGAGCGTACTGAGGAGACCGGGGAAGGGAGTCGTTGGTAGATTAGAGGAGATCGAGGAATGTCGAGGAGAGGGGATCGCGAGGGAGCGAGGGTGCGAGGGAGCGATATGAGAGAGGGACCCCATATGGAATGGAAGGAGAGCGACGCGGAGTGTACGAGGAGCGAGGGGGGGGAGAGGAGAGAGGATGGTGAAGACCGGGGCCGAGTCGGGTGACGAGAGGGAATACGTATGGCGAGGAGAGAGAGGGGTTAGAGGAGGAGGGATCTGGTAGAGAGAGGTGGGGAGAAGTGAGAGAGAAGATAGGGGAGAGTAGAAGAGGACGAGGAGGGTGAGGGGAGACGAGTTTGAGAGGAAGAGGGGGAGAGGTGTGGAGATGATGGACGATGGTGAGCAGAGGGGGAAGAATTAGGAGGGGTGGGAGGGAGACAGAAAAGAGCGATATGAATCGAGGGGACCGGAGAGGACGAGATGTGGACCAGGGGAGAGAGAGGCGGGATAGTTTGAGAGGGAGGGAGAAGAACGAGAAGAGTACGGTGAGGAGAGAAGGAGAGGATCAGGGCCCTCTCTACAGTCAGCCAGTTCCACTGGAGTTTTGGAGTGAGTTGAACCAAGATGAGTGAGAAGGATAAGAGGAGAAGAGAAGCTGATTTGCGATGGATCCCCAGAGTCCAGAGAGATGGAGAGAGGAGGTCAGAGATAGAAGGGGAGGATGAGGAAGAAGAGAGAGAGGAGATGACGTTTAAAAGCTGAGAGCTGGAGCGCTCCGAGAACGGGCCGTGGGAGAGGGGAGTTTGTCTTGGAGGGTGATGGTCGAGTGGTGTTGAGGATTGGATGAGGAGGGGGAGGGAGGAGCGGCGGGTGGTGGAATGCGTGGAGAGGGAGAGAAAGAGAAAGAATCGAGAATGGTGTGGGGGGAGGTGGAACTGTGACGAGAGGATAGAAGGAGTGAGAGGGAATGGAGAGATCAGAGAAGACACAAGCCATGTCACCCTCGCAGAGACCAGAGAGCAGAGAGGGAGGTAGGAGAGGTGTGAGACGCGGGAATGAGTGAAGAAGGTCGAAGGAGGGCGAGGGGGGGAGGTCTGGGCTGAGATGCGAGGAGCGAGAGGTTGGCTTTTGTACGAATGGGGAGTTGGGGAAGATGGAGGAAACTGCGGAATGTGAGCGAGATCGTCCCCTAGTGGGGAGCGAGTGTTGGATGGATATACGATGGGAGGAGGTGTGGATGGGAGTCGAGACTGGTAGAGGAGTGTGATTGAGGAGGGATGGGACGTAGATGAATGGGGGAGAAGGGGGAGCGAGGCCATGACGGAGTATCTGGGAAGGAGAGAAGGAGAGGAATGGTGGGGTCGGAGGCGAGGGGGGGGGCGAGTGGAGGGGTGAAAAGACACGGAGAGATGGGGTCGACGGGATGGAATAGAAGTGAGGCGGAGATGGGGCGAGGGGAAGGAATGGAGGTGAGACGGGAAGAACGGTCATGTGGGTGAGATGAGAGGAGAGAATGCGTTGACGGGGATTCAGGGGATGGGGGGAGACAGGGGGAGGAGAGGGGGGGGGGGAGAACGAGCGGTGTGAGGGTGTCGCTGTCTATGAGAGGAATGAAGACTGGACGATGTCGGGAGGAAGTGATAGAGGGTGTGATAGTCGGTGGAGAAGAGGAGTTGGGTTCGGCTCGTGATGGAAGTAGATGGGGGGAAGAGGAAGGGAGTCGGTACGGGTCGAGGGTGGGGACGGTGTGGGGCAGTGGGTGGAAGAATGAGGAGAGCGAGACGGGAAGAGACGAGCGAGGCTGAAATAAAGAGTCGAGCGGAATGGGAGGGAGGTGAGGAGAACGTAGAAGGTGAGAGCGTTAGAAGAAAGGGGGAGGGGAAGGAGGGGATTGAAGTGAATGATAGGCCGCTTGGATGCGAGAGGGGAAGAGGACCACGAGGAGAGGGTAGGTAGCGATGAGAGGGAGGAGCAGGGGAATTGGGAAGGGGAGCGGAGGTGGTGACGTGATAGCGAGAGAGGACGTTCTTGGGAGGACTCGGATGGTTGGCGCGCAGGAAGGGGAGGGAGGGGAGGACCCAGAGGGAGAAAGGGACAGAGTGTGAGAGAAGAGAGAGGAGAGGGAGAGACGAGCCTCGGAGAGAGGGGTGAGCGAGAGGAGAGGGATTAGGCGTGTGGTGATTGAGATGATAATGTGAGAGTGGAGGGAGGGAGCGAGTATCCGTACGCTTGGTGAGAGATTATAGGATGAAAGACGGTGATAAGATAGGGTGAGGGAATGGAGAGGAGTGCGGTCAAAGAGGGAGAATTGGAGGAGGGAGAGAGACCGTGTGGATTGAGGACCTGGTTGAGATGCCGAGAGATGTGAGAGGAGGGGACGTAGGGTGGATGAGAGAATAGAGAGGCGGGAGGGGCGAGGGTAGAGAGGGAGGATTCTTCGGGTGAGAGAGAAAGGGACCGCCGGAATAGGAGAGTTCGAGGAGGAGAGACAGAGAGAGAGGGGGTGGGGCGGAGAGGGAAGTCGAATTTGAGGTGTTACTGAGACCACCACAGCTGCAGATTGGGCAGGGAGAGGAGTGAGTGCCGCGAGGGAGGAGGGGGAAGATAGAAGTGGAGTAAGGAGAAGTATGAGAGGAAGGGAGGGAGGGGAGGACGAAAGTTCACTTAGGAGAGCCGTCCGAGCCTCAGTGGTTGCGGGGGGGAGGGAGTTGGGAGAAGGATAGCGAGATACATGCAAGAGAGATAGAGGAAGGTTTTGAGTGATAGAGAGAGATACGATTCGAGAGGGGGAGTAGAAATAGGGAAGAGAGTGGATGATATTTTTTTTTTTTTTTTCTCAGCCCCCCAGAAGACGCCAGGAGGGAGATAGAGAAGAGGAGGAGAGACGCACAGCAGATCGGGAAAAAATAGGACACGTGAGAGGACCAGCCCCCCCCCCAGAGAGAGGACAGCGATCGGAGGAACGGGGAGAGCAGAGCGGGGGAGGATACGGAAGACACCCCCCCCCCAGAGCCCCCGCAGCAGAGAGATTGGCCCCGGTGTGTTGCGAGAGAGAGGAAATGGGAGTAGAGTGCGACTGAGAACGGGGAAGGTGGAGAGGGCGATATGCGGGAGAGGGACGAGCGCGTGACTACTGGAGTGAGGAAACTAAGATGAGACGAGACCCAGAGAGAGGTATAGTGGTGTACGCGAATGGGGGGGACTAGGACACGACGACGCTCCCCCCCCCACAGGTGAGAGGAGAAGGAGAATTCCGGGGGGAGGATGAGAGGGGACTGAGGGTTTGAGGAGTGATTTGAAGGGAGGAGTCGGGCTGAGGGTTGAAGGGGAGAAGGAGTGAAGGGAATGAGAAGGAGTGGAAGGGATAGGGCACCAATCGAGTATGATGAGTGAAACTGCGTAGAGGAGTTGGGAGATGGATAATAGAATTTTTCAGCCCCAATCTCTCAGAAGAACCAAGCAGTGGAGGAACGAGTGATGGATATTAGTGGATAAGAAAAGAGAACTGGCTAGTAGAAGTAGACCTGACCAAGACGGGGAAGAGAGAGATGAGGAGAGGGGATGCAGGGGACGGAAGGTTTTGGGACGAGGCCGGGGAGGAGTCAGGGGGGGTGGGTTTTTGACGTATGTCTAGATAGGGGAGACGGGAATATCTTCGGACAGAAGGGAGTTAGGAGAAGCAGAGGAGACGGACGAGAGCGGAGCCGGGAGGTGAGCAAGTGAGAGCGGAGACTGTATTGTGAGTATTGGTACTGTCTGTTAAGTTGTAGGAGCTGGTTTGTCGGCGGCCGTGACTCGGGGCAGGTCGAGAGGGCGGAATCCAGAGAGGAAGGTTAGAGGTCGGAGAAGTGTTGGGACGTACAGTGGGGGGATGAACAGAAGATGGACATGGCGAGAGGTAGGAAGAGTTTTTGAGGTGGTTCGCGGGAGTGGCCATGCGGAGAGGAGGAGACATGGCGGGAATGGAGAAGAACGAGACCGAGGAGACGGATCCAGAGTCATGAATGAATGGGGTACTTTCGGCAGGTGGCTGACGAAGTGAGGACTGCCCGTCGGAATGAGAGAGATAGCTGAGTGAGTGGATGAGGCTGATCTTGGTGAAGAGAGTGGATTGATGTGTAGCACGTGTGGACTTCGTTAGGTTCGACCAGGAAAGATGTTCGGGATAGGAAGGGGAGAGAATTGTAAACAGGAAGGAACATGAAGAAGTGATATTCGCTCATGAGGGGAGTTGGTGTGGGGAGTTACGGTCTGGTGGAGAGGCACGGTGGAGAGATGGATCGGTCGGGCGTTTTGGAGGTGATGGAAGAGGAAAGGTACCTACTTGGGGAGGTAGGGGGCGGGAACAGGAGGGAGTTCGTGTCGCCGAGTGGAAGAGAGAGGAGATGTCCGAGAGCAGTTTTATGATTGAGGCTCGAGACGGACTGGGGGTCGGATTTCGAGACTGAGACTGAGGATTCGTGGGAGGAAGAGATTGGATGAGCTGCCGTTTCGTGCGTGGCGGAAGAGAGGAGGTTGACGGTGTGACGGAGACACCCCTATACGTGCTATAGATTGAGAGGACGTACCCTGGGGGAGTGTGGAGAATTGAGGACTAGGAGTGGAGGATGAAGAGAAGGCGGAGACGCACCCCGTGATGTTTTGAGGTGGACTGAAGAGTAGGAGCGGGGAAGGAGTTGTGAGACCCAGAGAGAGAGAGTCAGATCAGTGTGATTGGAGATGAGTTTGGCTGAGGAGAGGAGGACCGTGAGATGAGGAGAGGATGAAGGACGACGAGAGGAGAAGAGAGGAGAGACGACAAGCGAGGGATGAGTCGAGGACTGGGTGTGAGAGAGGAGAGGAGAGATCTGAGGGACGAGATTGAGGAGGTCTCCATGGGGAGTGATGGGAGAGGGTGAGGAGAGGTGTTGACGAGAGTGAACTGGTGCGAGCCGTCGGAGAGGAGGAGAGAGAAGAGAGAGATGAGCTGATCCAGATTGAGGGATGAGAGCGCGTGTGTCGGGGAGAGGCTGGAGGGGGGGATGGTGGGGCGGAGGGGACTGATTGGATTTTGCGCGGTGATGTTGGCTGAGGAGTAGGATGGGGGGGGAGAGAGGAGGACTCTTTCTGAACCGTAAGAGAGGGATAGGTGGTTACGCAGGGAGCGAGGGAGAGGGAACGGATATCATGCGGAGTAAGACGCTGTGGTTATTTGATTGGTTTGTGAAGTGTGGATGGTTCGGTAGGTGGCCCGAGAGAGGTTCCGAGGATGAGGTAAGGAGCGGCTCCAGAGGAGAGAGCTCGAAGAAGGGTTGAGACTTAGGGGTTGAAGACCGGAACGCGAAGGGGAGAAGCAAGATGAGGGTGAGGAGGAGAGAGATTTGAGAGATGGTGAGAGAGACGAGAGGAGGTATGGGGAGTGAGGCGAAGTGATCGGGACCCTGCTGTTTCTTAGATCGAGTGGGGAGGCTTGGCGTCGAGATTGTTCACCTTGTCCGATTCGTGTAGGTGTGTTGGAGTAGCTCGACGTTCGCTCTGAGAGGGGTCCGATGACGGAGCGAGGAGAGAGGAGACCAGAGAGGGACGGGAGAGATGGGAGAGGAGATGAGAGAGAGATCAGAGATTGAGGAGTGGATTGATGTCATTAGAGAGAGGGAGGAGTAGAGGAGAGAATGTAGACCAGAGGGATGGTTTTAGGCTTGCCATCTTCTGGCTGGGGAGATTGGTTCGTGACTGGATGTTATGGGTGCAGATGAATTGGAGAGGGGACAGAGATGAGCTCCCCCGGGATGGGGTTAGTTGGGCGTTTCGTAGTGTGATATGGACACTGAGAGGAAAGAATTGTGTGGGGTAGATAAACGTGATGAGGGAATCGGGATCACCCGTAGGGAGGGGAGAGACGGTAGTGAACCCCTCCAGCCAGAGTGTTCTTGAGGGAGTGGGTAAATGTGAGGACGGTAGAGGAAGCAGATTAGGGAGTGCCGGAGATGTAAGGGTATCGGAGAATGTTCGCGGAGAGAGTTTGGGGGAGAGATGAGAGAGAATTTGTGATGGTGGAGGAGAGCGGTTATTTGAGTGATGGTGATGAAGAGGTGAGGGATGGATGGAATGATGCGTAGGAGGATTGGGAGAGGCTTAAAGTATGATAGATAGGTGAAGAAGATGAGGGAAGACTGAAGGAGAGACTTGAGGGTAGATTGTAGAGACGAGTAGATGAAGGGAGCTATGAGAGGAGACCGCTTCCTATTTGGAGAGGAGTTGGGGGAGCGAAGGGAAATGATTGTTTGATTTCTGAAGAAGTGACGCCCAGCCATAGAATCACTTGACAGGGGAGAACTGGGCAGGCGGAAGAAGAAGAGAATCTCATGAGAATTGTTAGCAGAGGGGAGAGTATAGTAGAGAGATAAGAGAATCGGCTGAACTAGTACCGCATAGGGAGAGTGGGAGGGGGGTTTATTGGTTTCGGCGGAGATCTACTGCAGTGAGAGAGAGTAATCGATAGAGTAAGAGGAAGGGAGAGGGTGGACGAGTGTTTGTGCTCTGGGGAGGAGGTTGGGTTGTGTTGGGAGATGCCGTGCCAGAGTGTTGCCCGGCGAAAGTCTATTCGTTCGTTGGAGAGGATGCTTGCATGCATTTCAGGCCAAGTTGGGGGGGGCGATCTACTAGCTACTATGTTTGACAGCATGAGTTATGTGATGATAAGAGTGAGCGGTGGATAAGGCGGTGAGTTTAGAGTTGAGACAGCCTGCCTCTTGAGTTGTCGTGGAGTTAGCGCGAAGCGGGGTCCGTATTGTCGGGTGGTTGCTTTGCGTTTGAATTTTAGGGATCCCTCGCTTGAAGTTGTAAGGTGTCGGGAGAGCTCTGATGGGGTAATCTGTGGTTAGTGAGAGGTTCTATATGATTTTGCGCAGTGAGGGATGCACTGCCGACGGACACGGAGGCTTCTGTTTGAGTAGAATAGATCGGCGAGCTGGGAGGTGGCCTGAGGAGGTTGTTTTCCTTGCTAGCGAGAGGTTACGTTCTGAGTTTTTGTCGTGTTGGAGAGGGCTTTTAAGGAGTATAAATCGTGGGGGCATGGGCTTGATATACGTAGTGACGCGAATGGAATTGACAAGTGTTGGGTCTTCCCGTTATAACGAGATTGGGACGGACTGATCTCGTTAGATTGGGAGCGTTGCGTGGTAGAAGCTTCGTGGGAGAGGGATGCTACGCGTGTTCTTCTGCTGTGAGCGATTGGTGAACCCGATTTCTGGTTTGGAGGAGAGGGGGCTGAAGATACTTGGATGTTAAAGGCTGGAAGGCTTGTGAAATAGCGGAAGGACAGACTTGGGAACAGAGGGAAAAATACGAGGAACAGGGAGTGAAAGTTGAGACAATGCAAGGAGAGGGGGGGTATGAGTCCAGCAGTACAGAGGATAGAGGATCGAGCAGAGTATTGATAGGAAGAAAATCGAGATAATGTGAGATCGAAAATTATGGGAGAAGGGACGAAGAATAGGAAAATGCATAGAATGCGTCAGAAGAGAGAACGTGCTTGAAGAATGGGAGAGGGAAGAAGGGATTATGGACGACTGGGGTGTTGCTCGAGGATGTGAGGAGCTCCTTGGAAGAGTGGAAAGGTGAGAGACCGATCCATTGTTAGTATGAGGCGCAATTGGCTCTCATTCCTGATCCCAGATTCACGGAGTCACTTCTTCAGAGAGTGGGGTCATCGAAGATCGTAGTCAGGCGAGAGAAGAGAGACGTAGTTTGTTTTGCAGACCACTGAGAAGATTCGGGCTAGAGAGCGGCCACGGTTAAGATTGCGTTCCCCACGTCCCCATGAGAGAGGAGTCTTGCTCACAGAGTTCGCAGTCGATTGAACCGACGGAGGAGGAAGTAGAGCACCGCATCCTCAAAGGAGGAGATGGGGAGTTGAGAAAAGGAGTCCCGGTCTTCAGATGGGTACGGAGCGAGGGAATGGTAGTTCCCGGAGAAGGGTGGGGGTGGACTCGGGTGGGGATGGGGAGAGGGGAGAAGAAAGAGACAGATAGACCATGAGGAGTTAGGGAGGAGGGAGAGGTGTGAGGATAGCTGAGAGGAGTGGAGGGGAGATGAGGAGTTAGGAGTGTGAGTTAGAAGGAGATTGAATGGGGGAGAAGAGTGGGGGAGGTAGGAGAGGTTTTGAGTGATTGAGTGGGAGACGTGAGAGAGAGGAGAAGGTGAGAGCGGGATGGGAGAGAAGACTGGAACCGTCGAGAGAGGGGGATTGGAGTGGGGGTCATGAGGGAGAGGGGGATGGTATGTGAGCCGAGTGGGAGGGGAGGGTCCGGGGTGTCGTGACGAGCGGAGAACGCTGACTTGTCCCGGAGGATTGGGCCCGAGGGGAAGATTTTTTGGGGGGCGGTTGCGTGTTGTGGGGTGCGCATGGAGGTTGGAGATGGGTAGTCTCATCGTGGTTGGAGTCACGAGGTAGGTATCGCACCCCCCTAGCACGACAAGCCCCCCCCGACACCGATCATGATTGTTCCACAGCTCAGAGAAGGTAATGATGGGGATGGGGATTGCGAGGAGGATTGCCCTTATAATTCCCCTGTACACTCGCTCCGTTTGGGGAAATGTGCCTCTGGGGTGAGAGAGGGGTTTGGGTCGAAGGATGGGTACTGTGGGGAGGTACGTACGAGAATATGAGGGGGTAGGAGAGATGCGTGAGAGTTGGAGGAGAGTGATTGATGTGTAGGGGGCTGAAGGGGTTGTTGTGTGGGGACATTAGTGGTATTTGAGCCTAGATGAGGTAGGCTCTTGAGTGCACGTGGCGGACGATGGGGGGTGGTGGTGGCGTGTGAGTAGAAGCTGATCAGGATCAGGAGGGGACGATTGTGGTTAGGCTGGTGTGTGGACGCGCGGGGCGTTTATGGGCATGATGACGGGGGGAGGTGAGGAGGAGTGCGAGAGCGGGAGTTGATTTGGTGGAGCGAGAGATGAGAGGTTGTTGGTGGACTTGGGGCACTTGGTAGTTGGGACCGGTAGGGGCGTTGAGGAAGACTTGAGTGAGAGTGAGAGAAATCGGGGAGATTCTATGCGTTGAGAGAGAACGTTGAGAGCTGATTCCGTGGTTTTTGCGTCGCGGAGAGGGAATTCGTATCTGGTGACGACGGTTAATCCTGGTGAGGGAGACGTAGTTATCGGGTTGAGGAGACCGAGATCAGAGATGATGGACGGTGGATGGGGTGGAGGGGAGGATTGTTGGAGCACTGTAGGGGGTGGGAGAGACATCTAACGATGGAAGAGGGTCGTTGAGAGAGTCGGCTTCGAGCGTGCGGGAGGCCGAGACCAGGGAGAGGGTTTCTTTTTACGTGGGAGAGATTCGGCTAGAGCTTGGGTTGGAAGGGCGAGGTTAGTGTGAGGGCGAGGTGGAGTGTCTCCGGATGATGCGGTGTGGATAGGTAGAGGGGTCGGTGGGAGGAGACTGCAGAGATGATGAGAAAGAGATTAGAGATGAGAGGCAAGTTGAGTTGAGAACGGTGTCTGGGGTGGACGAAGCGTGGCACGGGGAGGGAGCAGTGGATACGGTTTGGAGGTGTGAGTGGGTGTTGAATTTCCAGTGGACGGTCGACCGGAGTGAGAGAATGGGGATCCCGAAGTTCTGAAGCCGTGGGGTACGGAGGTAGTGGGGAGGAGAGAGGGGTGTGTAGTCGGGAGGAGATGCGCGGTGGTGAGGTTTGTGAAAGTGAGGGAGAGGAGTGGTGGTCAGAAGATAGATGAGAACTAAGGGAAGTGAGAGTTGGATGTTTGATTGTATGGTGTTAGAAGGTGCTTGTTCGGATGATCGGTCGATAAACAGGGGGAGTAAATGAGACAGGGTTGGGACGGTGTGGTTACTGGATCGGATTTCTGGATCCGGTGTAATGATAACCCTGGGCCAGGATGCATGTCTGGGATTGGGAGACGGATAGCTGAATTGTAGTGAGGAAACGGAAGGGAGAAGGCGGGGGGGTTGAGTGTGAGAGTAATGGGCGATGCCTCCATGAGGTAGGGGGATTGGAGAAGGAGGTAGTGTATATGGTGCGTGTGTGAATGGCGGTAGCCGTCTTGGGTGAGTGAGGGGCGAGAGAGAGGAGTGACGAGCTGTGGGAACTTGGGGGGGGTGAAGAGGAAAGGAGGAGAATTTGCGGGACGTGGTCTAGAGTACCGTAGTCGATGAGTTTGACTTTGTTTTGGGGGGGGGGAAGAGGTGAGATGATAGGGGTCGGGGAGGGGGCGATGTTGTGTGGAAGAGGACGGGAATTTGGATCAGTGGAGGGAGAGAGAAGGGAGATCTATATTTGGCGTGAGGAAAAGATGATGATGCTCCGGGTGTGTTCTACCCTAGAACGAGATGAACCTTGGCCGGTCGAGAAAGGATGAGATAGGGAGAGGGGGAAAGGGCTGATTAGCGGAAGGGCCCGATCTGTGAAGATGGAGGAGAGGTTGGGGGAAGATTGAGAGGAAGAACGAGCGAGAGTAGAGAATGCGAGGAAGGTGGAGTCGAGAGGATTTGATTGATAGGATCGAGGCTAGGGAGGCGGTTCTGGATAGGAGTGAGGACTGACATTAGGGAGAGCTGAAGGTGGTGACGGCAAGAGGCTGTGGTCGAAATGATTGAAGACTTTTGACGTTCGGTTTTGTGAGTATGCGTCTGTTCGGCTGTGGATGGAAGAATGGAAATGATGACGGGGGGGACTGGTCGGGCAATAGAGGCGAGAGACGAGGGGAAGGAGGAGGTCTGGAGAAAGATATTTCTGTGTGACGACTAGAGGCGCTGCTGGCTGATGACATGGAAGATCGTGATTAATGGAGGATGATAGAGGATGAGGGGTTACTTGAGTTCGGGTTAGATGAAGGGTCGTGCTCGAAGATTGAGAGTGCCTCGGATGGTGCCTTGCGAATGGAAGACGAGGGGAAGGTGATTGGTGGAATCGAAGTGAGATGGTGTTCTGAGATGAGGAGGTGGTGAAGACCGAGAGGAGGAGCTGAGGTGGGTTGGAGATGTTGGAGATGAAAGGAGGGAGACTGAGGGATACAGATCGAGTGATTAGAGGCTGATTGGGATCTTGAATCGACGCCGAATAGTGGGGAGAGATGAGGGAGGAGAGAGAGAGGAGCTTGGGGGTTTTGAAGAAGAACCTTTTGTATGTTGGGCAGTGCGAGAGGATTCCTAGGGAATGTATCGAGAGCGCGTCTTGATTTGGGAAGGTTTGAGGGGGGAGGGATGAAGGGAGGTTTTCCCCTCGTTTGTGATGCTGGGGGGTATGAGTGATAGTTGGGGATATGAGAGTCCGGTGAGAAAGAGAGAATTTCCCCAGAAGTGTGGAGGGGGGGAAGGGAGGTGGGAGAGATAGGTGGGAGGAGGTGAGAGGGCGGAGACCGGAATAGCACTCGAGTGGAGACATGGGAGTGAGCGATAGGTTAGAGGTAGTTGCCGTGGAGAGGAGCGTGGGGATTGATATATACGGTATCAAGTGGGTGAGTAGGACGTTGTTAGGGAAAGGTAGTTGACATGCGGATCAGAGTCGTGAAACAAGGAGCGATGGTCGAGGGGGAGTCGACTGTGAGATAGGGTGGATGAGTGTTGTGAATCGAAAGAATTGTTATCGGGAATCTGTGTGAATTGGATTAGATTGAGATTTGTACCCTTGGAGATAGGAGCAAGAGAACAGTCATGGGTCGATTCCACGTGATAAGTCCGAGATAGAATTGCTGATTAGATGATTCTGAGGATTGGGCTCTTGCCCGAGAGTACATTGATGAATTGCTGAGAGAGATAGCGAAGTGGAGAATTGCAGATATGAGAGTTGGGGACGCAGAGTGTCGGAATGGACGGTGTAGGTGGAGCATGAGGTCGAGTTAATGAGGAAGGGATCGCGGGTTGCGTGAGTGTTGTGGGGGGAGATAGAGGGACGAGTGATTTGCGTATGATAGAGGAAGCAGATAGATGAGTTGGAGAAGTTTGGGAGAAGGAGTTGACATCTTCGAGAATGAGAGGATGAAGAAGTTGGAGAATTCATGGAGTCCTACAGCGGAGGGAGTCGAGAGGTGGAATCTGGCGGAGGCTTGTGAAGGGTGGTGCTGGCCGGAGAGGAGGGGTAGTGGTCGGGGTGTGATGGATATGAGAAGAGGCGATGAAAGACGTGATTGGCCGCATATTCGATTGATGAGTGGAAATGCTGATGAGTGAAGGGGAATAATGAAAGAGAGGGCGAACAGAGGAGAGAAGCGAGTATTGGAGAGGAGGGATGTAAGGGTGTGAGGAACGGAGTGGGTTGTATTGGAGGACGAGTGGATGAGTGGGAGAAGGTTTTGGGTATACTCCGTAGAGCGATCGATCTCGTCATGTTTAGAGATTGAGGCTGGGTCTTTGCTGTGCGAAGAGAGCGAGGAGTGATACTCGCCCTATGATTTGTCGGCATGTTTGGGAAGGAGACTCCCCGTGAGAGCCTTGATTGGAGTTGATGATCGTCGGTGAGGGTCTGTTGGAGTGTCGAGACTGATTGTCGGCTGTGGAGGAGTTCAGGGGAGGAACTATGGTGGGGTTCCGCTGGGAGGGAGTGTGGCGGTGACGCAAGACGAGTCCAGGCGATTGTCTGATTTGCTGCTTGTTCTTCTCATCTTATAAATTGGTTAGGGGTTTCCGAAGAGGCGTTACGCTCGGTCAAGCCGCGAGGCTAATCTTTGGAGATGATGGAGGGTTTTCACAGCGCTAGATTGAGGGGGGCTGGGGGGCGGCCGGAGCTGGGAGTTTGGGTTTGATTTGACGAGAGATCGAGTGTACTATCGGGATGGTACGAGCTGGTGTCGCGTACGAGTCGGGTTCTTGGTTGGCGTGAGAAGAGAAGACAGTTGGGTCGAGACGGGAGATGTTTCGGACGGGGTAGGGTGAGGAAGGAAGTGGGGGTGCTCCGGAAGCTGGAAGAGCGCTGAGAGATTGGTGGTTGGGGTTGCGCGAGAATGAACTGTTGGAAGGGGAAGGTGTGAGGACTTCTGAGACCGGAGGGGCGGGTTCCTGTGGATCCTGTCTTGCGGATGGGGGACGAGGTGAGGAGAGAAGGATGTGAAGAGGTCGAGAGGACGGAGAATCGAAAGAGAGGGGTCTTTTCTCAGAGCGTCGGGCGAGAGGAAGGAGGACTGGGAGCCTCGGGGGATAAGAGATTGAAGGGAGAAGTGGTTCGTAGCCTCTGGCGAGAGATGTTGAGGAAGCGAGATAACCCGGGTGGGTGGTGTGTTGGTTTGGGAGTTATGGAGATCGTGTGTGCGGCTGAGGGTGTGGGTATCTGAGTGAGGAATTAGTCGGGTAGTAATGAGAAGAGGGGAGGCGTCGTGTCGGAGAGGTGAGGAGAGAGAGGAGGGGAGAGCCATGCTGAAGAGAGCTAGAGGCGTGGAGGCGAGAGGGAGAGTCGGACGGGGGCGATCGTGAGGACTGCATATTTGGGCGAGGCGACTGTTGTCGGGGGTTCTGCATGAGATATGTACGTCAGGATGTGTGAGAAGGTAGGAGGAGGAATGGAGTAGAGGTGCGTATCTGAGAGTTTGGTCGGGCCCGAATGAAATGTGAGAGTGATGGAGGATTGGACGAAGGTTTGTAACAACCCTACCCCAGGTGATGCCCGCCGCTGCCCCAGACGATTGCGTCTGCTCTCCGTGAGCGTGACAGGAGGGGATTGACTTTGTCTTGAGCAGCTTGACTGGGGAGACGAACGGATTTTTCGGTTTGTTTAGAGATCTACCACTTCGCCCCAGTCGACTTTGAGGAGTATACCAAGGAGGACGCGTAGAGGTTGGGGACCCGGGAGTATCTAATTGGGCTATCACGGATGAGAAGAGAGGGGAATAGCAAGATCGAGAATCCGGAGAGGAGGAGAGGGAGTAGTGAGAATAAATGATGAGATGGAGGTATGGGGGAGTGAGCGAGAGGAGCGAGAGAGAGAGGAGAGGGGAGATGAGAGAGACAGCCCCAGAGGGGCGCGACGCCAAGTTGGAGGGTAGCTTGACATGCAGTGTTGGCTCATTTGCGGCAGGAGGTTGGGTCGGATGAGAGTGGTTGAGAGTGAGTGCTCCCGAGTAGGCGTTCCCCTGGCCCATGTGGGGGGTGGGGGGAGAGGTGGAGATGAGAGCGGAGAGAGGAGGCGAGAAGGAGGGAGGAGATGACACGCAGGCAGGACGTTAGATGGTTACCAGGTATCTCAATGATTTATTGTTTGGTTCGAGGCTCAAGTTTCGAGACCTCCTCCACTAGAGGCAGTGAGCGACGGATTAGCGGGAGAGTGAAGCGGATTCGAGAGGGGTCGACTTGGAAGCTAATAGTGTGACAAAGGATTAGCTCTGTATCTGGTAGTTCTAACGCTGATAGGTTGGAGGGCTTCAGAGGTGATAGCAAGGGATGTGCTGAGGCGGGCGGAGACTGTCGGACGAGACTTGAGGCACCAGGGACAGTTTGATCGAATTGTTTGGGAGATGCTCTCGACGAGGGGGGATGGGTGAGGGTGTGTTTTGGGGGGAAATGGATTATTCTGGGAATGAGGGTACTAAGGTTTTGGGTGAGGCGCGAAGGTGAGATGTGAGTTGAGATGGAGTGGGATGCATAGAGAGATACCTGTGTCCTGAACACTTGAGAGAGAAGTTGCTCGGGGACCGGCTGCAGAGATTCGGAGAAGGATGATTTTGGAGATTGAGGCGTTGTTTGATAGTTCCCTGAGAATGGTGTGGCCTTGGTTCTTTTCGGTTCAGACTCCCGGGTCCGCTTTGGTTTTTATGTGCTGTCATCGAGCCCAGCCTGGTTGCTATTGGGTAACCTTTGAGGGGGGGTGGGACGTTTTCAGGGGGTCTTGGCCTTGATACCATTTGCCCGTCGATGAACCCGCGCCCTTGGAGTTGTGCTTTGAGGGGGATGATTGCCTGGGATGAGAAGCTTGGTGTTCTGAACGGAGATGGACGTATCTGAGAAGAGGATCTGAAAGATGGAGAAGGAGAGACCCCAGAGAGAGCGTGTGGATTGGGAGATGAGGGAGATTTGAGCAGGGGTGTCGATCCGGGACTCCGAGTTTGAATGGAGTGAGGTAGTGTGAGGTGAAGTGGGAGAAAGAATGAAGGTGAAATGTTGACTTTATAGAAGGGAGTAAAGTATTGATTGAAAGAACGTGTAGACGACAATAGAAAATAAGCCAAAACATCAAGCTCTACGCACACACACAGATACAGACACACACACAGATACAGACACACACACACACACACACACAGATACAGACACACACACAGATACAGACACACTCACACACATAGATACAGACACACACACACACATAGATACAGACACACACACAGATACAGACACACACACACACACACACAGATACAGACACACACACACACACAGACACACACACACACACACAGATACAGACACACACACAGATACAGACACACACACACACACACATAGATACAGACACACACACAGATACAGACACACACACACACACAGATACAGACACACACACACACAGATACAGACACACACACACAGATACAGACACACACACACACAGATACAGACACACACACAGATACAGACACACACACACACACACAGATACAGACACACACAGATACAGACACACACACAGATACAGACACACACACAGATACAGACACACTCACACACGCACACAGAGATACAGACACACACACAGATACAGACACACACACACACACACACACACACACACAGATACAGACACTCATACACACACACACACAGATACAGACACACTCACACACGCACACACAGATACAGACACACACACAGATACAGACACACTCACACACGCACACAGAGATACAGACACACACACAGATACAGACACACACACACACACACACACTTTTTGTAACATTCAGTTTATTGAGTTTTCACAGTGTTACACAGTCTAAGAATATATCAGAAAGTGCAGAACACGGACAACACAACATCTGTGTTTGTGAGCTGGGAAAAATATAACAAGAAAACAAAAAATATATATAGTAAGAAATCTAACGACTATAATAATAAAACCAAAAGAGTATAATAAAGAAACACGCAGTTAAAAAAACACACTGCAAAAAAAAAATAATAATAATAATTTAGATTTTAGAATGATTTTATCTGACAGAGTAAATACTGCTAATCCAGGCGTGTTTTGGCCTGAGGTGAAAATATGAATTGGATTTATCTCAATGAAGTTTTTGCCTTTTCTTCTTTTGTTGTTGAAGCCTGAGACAAGAAGAAACTGGGCCATCGGACTGTGTTACACTGACTTTAGTCTGAGATTTAATACTTGCTTCTGTATAACACTAGCCTGGTCGTACCACACCATAGTACAAATGACATTTCGTACTAAGGTCTGGATTTTCTCCATTGAGCTCCGTGAACAGGTGGGAGGGGTTAACTCCTTTTGCAGATTGAAACGATTGGATCTGAGTTTACCGTGACGTTTGTAATGAGCCCGAGTGATCGTTAGCATGTAGCATTTAGCCTAGCTTTAGCCATCTCCTTTGCCGCTAACGGAGCCCATCGGGAGTAGCGCCACAATCTTTGCAGTGATTACATTTACTAAACATTCCTCTTGCTCCGGCTTCAGTTTCTTGATAGAACCAGACCGGAAAACTTTACTATCGCATTCTTCGGCATTCCCAAACTACAACCTGCCCGTTCGGCGCAAGCTCTTGACGTCACCCACATCTAACTACAACACCCGCCTCTCGCGCTCACTGATTGGTCGGATGGAATTCAACCGATTGTAATCGTAAACACAGGGACCAGACCCAGACGTTACATGCAGGAAATGATGATTGAGCGGAGTGTACGGATGGATAAGGCCAGGCTAATATAATAATTATAATAATATAATAATAATGATAATAATAATAATGATAATAATAATAATAATGATAATGATAATAATGATAATAATAATAATAATAATAATAATGATAATAATAATAATAATAATAATAATAATAATAATAATGATAATAATAATAATAATAATAATAATAATGATAATGATAATAATGATAATAATAATTATAATAATAATAATGATAATGATAATAATAATAATAATAATAATGATAATGATAATGATAATAATAATAATAATAATGATAATGATAATAATGATAATAATAATAATAATAATAATAATGATAATGATAATGATAATGATAATAATAATAATAATAATAATAATAATGATAATGATAATAATAATAATAATGATGTTGATGATGATGATGATGAGCTTTTTTCCAGACCTGAGACACAAACAAAAATGAACCTGTGCTCCCAGAACTAGGATTTCTACTGTACCGTGTTGCACTGAACTGAACTTTCACCAGTACTACAACAACCTAATTATTATTATGCCAAAGTTAAAGGATTTATTGTATTTGAGAGGTATCGTTCACACCACTTAAATAAACTCTAACTGTATCTTTATAAGAAACGTCTGGTCCAAGCGTCTCTTAAACAGTTCAATAACGTCAAGACAGGATCAGACTGTATTGATCTCACAAAGAAAACATTTACAATCATCTACAGCCTCCATGTGAGTAAACTCTGACTATTTAGATTGATATTTCAACGTTCTACCTGAGAAGACTTTTGAGGCCTTTTTCCTGCACGTAACAAAACCCACAGCAGCAAATACGGTCGTCCATGGTCTTATGTTATATCGCTCCCCAGTGGTCACTGTCTGCACTACAGGTTTAACAAAGTCGTATGATTCAACTTCAGTTTATTCGCCATTTGCAGTAAAACCACATCGGAATAAATGAGCAACTGTCCCCAGTGCGCACCAGAGGAGTATTTCATATAAAAGACAACATTGAGGCTGAGGGCCTAAGGGTCTGTGGTCGAGTCCCTCCAACAGCTCCATAAAGCTTTGTCTTTTGAATGTACTTCACAGAGAAGGTTCCAGACTCAGCAGAGGCTCACTCCAATCTCAGAGCACCTCGTCAGAGTTTTATTTAAAAAACATTTACATTTATTAATGCAGTGAAATACGGAACTTAAATTTATAACTATTGATGTTTTTTTATTTATCAACAAGAAGAGGATGATGAAGATGACGATGATGACGATGATGATGATGGTTGGAGTCAGGAAAGTCATGTGAAAATGTGAATCTTTCTGCAGTCGCTTAAATGTGGCGTTGATAAAGGGGAAGCCACATATGTTTTTTGCTTCTGTTTTCTCCTTTTGAGCTTGTTCTTGAAAATCAGAATCATTTTTATTGCCACGTAAGTAACAGGAAGTCACAGACTTGGAAATTACTTTGGCTCAGTGCAACAGTCAGAAAGAGATAATAAAAATAAAGAATAAAAAACACTTCTAAAGAATAAATTTAAATTTAAAATAGAGTTACAGTTACTATTTACAATATACAAGTGCACACAATGTAAGGTGACAGCAGT